TCTTATGTCCGTATAGGTTGAGGTTCATTCTGATAAGTCGCTGGTTGACGGCCTCCCAGGTGCCCACAAACTTACGTAGGCTTTTCCGCATGAGTATTGCTACTCCTTGCTGAGCACGCTGATCTTTGGCCACGCCGCTGTAGAATAGATCATAGTCACCGTAATTCTCTGACCCGTGCCCTTTCTTCTTGGTTTCAGTAAGAACAGCGACATCCACTTCAAGCTTCTGGATCTCCGATATCACTTCCGGTAGCTTATTCGAAATGCCTTGGACATTCCACGTCCCAAATATCAATGTCCGTTTTCTTAATTTTTGTCGACGTGTCCGTTTGTTTCCAGTGGTACCGAGGCTTGTTACGTTAGGTCTTTTGACAGTGAAACCTTTTACAAGTACCGGGGAGTCAGCCCGATGACTCAACCCCCAACCTGGAGGACCAGGGTTTGATTTTGGAGTTGCCTCTCCTAGACAGGTTCCTTTCACTTCAGCTCAGAGCCCTGTCTGCCCTTCTAGCAAGTGGTTCATACGCCCAGAGGCCGGTGACCATCTCCACTATCCCCTTTAAGGCAGGGGCTACCAGCTGGGGTCCGCAGGATTGCTATACCTGTGACAACAGTCCCCCATACGGAATTTGCCCATACGGGCCGTCAAATTTTGATCAGAATTGAGTTCCACCGTTCGAGAAAACTCGATTTTACTGAGATAAGAAAGTAAGATTCCCTACCTTGTATCTTCCACAAAAAAAGAGATAAATCAAATCAATGAAAAAGAAACATGATACATGCTCTCAGCTTAAAAAAAAGCTCTAGTTTTTGAAAATCGGTCGATGAGTTCGCGAGAAAACTCGAGTTTACTGAGACAACCTCCTATCGCCGCGTGCCCTCCTCCGGATTCAGGGTGCGCGGAGAGTCGATTATTTCAGACCCGGGTGATCGCCGCTAAGCATCACATGAAAAAGGTATTCAACATTTTTTATTGAGTAGACCTTACCTTACTTTTTGACATAGTTTCCACCTTCGTTTTGAAATTTTTGGAATCAATATAGCCGCCTCTCGATGCTCTCGGCGAAGGAGCTCTTGCCTCGGCACCGCAACTAGTCATTGACAGCGCTCTACCCCACCGAATCAGTTGGGAACCGCTTTCCACTAAGGAAGTTTTTAGGCCAGGGAACAGAAGAAAATTACATGAGGCTGAATCGAGATAGTATGGAGAGTGTGGAAAAATTTCCCTGTGCAAAGGAACTGATTCGGATGGGTAGAGCGCTGTCAATGGCTGGTTTCGGTGCCGAGGCAAGACCTCCTTCCGAGTGCATCGAGGGGCGGCTATATTGATTCCAAAAATTTCAAAACGAAGGTGGAGACTACGTCAAAAAGTGAGGTAAGGTCAGGGTAAGATCTACTCAATAAAACATGTTGAATACCTTTTTCATGTGATGCTTATAGCGGCGATCACCCGGGTCTGAAATAATCGACTCTCCGCGCACCCTGAATCCAGAGGTGGGCACGCGGTGACAGGAGGTTGTCTCAGTAAAATCGAGTTTTCTCGCGAACCCCTAGACCAATTTTCAGAAACTAGAGCTTGTTTTTAAGCTGAAAGTATGTTTTTTTTTTTTTTTTTTTTTTTTTTTTTAATAATGATTTTATTTATCAGATAACAACTTTGAAACAAGAACGACAGCAGTCTTGCTCGAAATTGGGAAGAAGTGCAATTGACATAGTAATTGTGCAAAATAGATTAAATTACTTACATATAGCTACATATCAACTATCAATTTAGTTATATTGTGCATTTCATGTCTCTACCTATTTACTTAGAGAGTATGTTTAATATTTCATTTTTTATTGATTTGATTTATCTCTTTTTTTGTGTGGAAGATACAAGGTAGGGAATATTACTTTTTGGATGACCCTCGTACACATATTAATCACTATGTAATGAGGCATCTTCAGGAAATTAGGTCATTAACCCTCTACAACATTCATCGTTACGAATTCGTAACGACATTTTTGGGGTTTTTTTTAGGAGTTGTATCCATTCTCTGTGGCATGATTTTCAAATTTCCATTTGTTCTTTCTTTTTTTGAGTATAACTGATTCCCATAAAATTTAAAATTTTGAAAAATATTTGGTACTCTATGATTTTCGTGCAGGCTAAAAAGTAGATTAGTATCCCCCAGAATCTGAGATCCAAAATCAATTCATGTCATGGAGGGCTAAGGGAGAATACTGATTGATCCAATAGTAGTCTCCGAAATTTTAAAACTCTTTAAACAATTAAATTTAAAAATTTAAGGTTGCCTGGTCCTCGACGCAAATAGCCTAGTTGCTGATCGTCGTAAATTAAGTAACGACTATAACTAACTATCTCTTGTGTGCAGCAGACCCATTTGATCTGAAAGAGCAAAGCCTCTAAGTTTTTTTGGTCTGAAACTCATTCCGATTTAAACAGCCGATCGAATGGAATTTTTTTCCTGAGCTTCGTCATTTAGACAGCGAGTCAAAAATGGTTTTTTCCGCGTTATGTGCCCTAGTGCTCACGTGCAAAAGTGTACACACGCTGACGACTGTTCCACAGTTTCGATCGGGACAAGGTTAGGTTTTAACCTTGTTGTGCTGTCACGGGCTGCTGTTTCGATCAGTCCAAACAATTTTGTTCAGCTCTGACGTTCGTTTAGGGTAGCCGCGCAATGGCTTCGCTCGGCTACGTGATTTTCTTGAGCCTTCTCATCCTAGGTCCAGCTTTTTGTCGTGAGTTGCCTCCCTGTTTATTCATCTTAAAATTTCTGATGCACGATTTTTATCATCTACTTGCTTCTCATTTAAGTTTATTGGACAGTTGAATGGACCTGTTGCGGAAGTAAAAAACAGAGCCACCAGATATGGAAAATTTCATGAAATTTATTGAAACTTTTGGGGATACCTTTAGGAGGCTAAGAAATGCCTAGAAACAGTGATTCTAAATTTTGAAATTTTTCACCCCAAGCCTAAAAAATTCGCGCGTTGCAAATGTTTTCGTTTAGTTTAGAGGTTGGGCTGGGGTTCTTCTCTCTAAACTCCCCTTTTTGCCCCCTCTTTGTGTCTGGCACCTTCAGTAGAGTAGCATAATACCGCAGCATCAACTGGAAAGACCATCCGAAACGCTTTCAGACCTCCAAACGTTTAATAAATAATTCTAAAAAAATTAATAAATTTCAACGTTTGTGAAATTTATTCGAGCCTTTTGAAATTTCATGAAATTTCAAAACGTGAAATTTCACTTTCCATCTCTGAGAGCCACCTCTAACACCCACTCGAAGCTTATACCGTTTCACGGGACAAATCGACGGTGCATAAGTCGGCAATCGCATAACTCGTTTGCGGTGTCTGAAAATCTTCGCCTCTATGTCATTTTTTTAAAGGAGAACAAACTGACATCATACCCTGAGATTTTTGCAGAACTTTCTTCGCATGGAGAAGAAAAATCACGACAGTTTTAAGGGATGGACCACTAGACAAGGTACGAATTTCAGCATTACGATACATGTTTCTAGACTAAAATTTCACGTAGAATACGACGCGCACAACGAAAATTACCGAAATCAACTCCTATTCCGAGGATATTTAATGATTCTTGACGCGTGAATTCAAACCACCCGCTCATGAAAACTCAATGCTCTGCGTGATTCACATCGTGCGCTAAACGTTATCATGCCAGTCTCTGCGATATAAAAATCTGGCGACCTCAATCTTGACGCTTTGGCTCAGCTGTAGCAAATTGCTTATAGTTTGATTGAACAAAACATGGTGGGAAATGAACATTACTCGATTCAGAAGCTTGTTGAAACCGTTGTAGTGCGCGATTTGACTCACGTAGAGCTTTGAGTTTCTTGTTAGCGGGCAGTTCAAATTCCTCGTAACCGATGTGAAATAAAAACGTTGATATTTTCGTTTGGAGTTTGTTTCAATAGTTTTCGTTGCGCGAATTGTGTTCTACGTGAAATTCTGGTTAAGAATCATGTATCAGAATGCTTAAATTCGTACCTTGTCTCGTGGTCCATTGCCGTCGAGTAGTTTTCCGTTTAGAAAATAGAGTATGATAGGAAGTCTGCGACGTCGCAAACCGAGTTATGTGATTGCCGACTTGCACCGTAGAAATGAGCCAGTCTTAGAATCGCGCTTTGATGCCTGATGCTTGTAGATTAGCAAGGAATAATAAGATGTATCCAAACAGGAACTTCTTACGTTCAGTATTAACCGAGATATCGTGCCCTTTGGAAAGCCGAGTTTCACGTTGAACAACCAGTGCAAATAAGCGTCACACTGACTGATGAAAGCAAGGTGGAAGAAACCAAGAGTGTCATTGTCACGGTGGATGAAGTCAAAAAGCCGACTTTTCAGAAGCCGATATCTCGGTTAATAGTCCAGGTTCTTATGTTCANATCATGACATCAAAATCAAATTCCATAATTTTCACCCCCCGAGCCCCCATTTTGGCCGCCATCTTGATTTTGGGGGGTTGGACGCAAAATTGAGCTTGACAACATCGAAATTCTTTTTTTACGCATCGAAATGAAGAGATTAAGATATTTTCCACACTTGCTTCACTTACCGTTCCACGGGAGTACATAAGAACCTGAACTATAACATGGAACGTAGAAAGTTGCTGTTTGGACGGATTTTATTATTTTTAGCTAATCTACATCAATCAAGCAGCGAAACACGATTCTCTGACCAGCTCAGCTGATTTATTGCGCGCAAACTTTTGAATTTCAAAAGGCTTTCAAAAACTTTCAAAAGGCGGTCGAGCCCAATTGCGCAAACTGCTCAGAATTAAAAGCTCAAAAGCGCACACTTTATCATTTGTGGTTTTGAGCTCTCCATCCGATGGTGCTTGAATACATCAATTAATCAACTGAAGGTGGAATTCCCTGGTAAAAATTGGCGATAGGAGCTGCGTTTCAAAATACCATAGGAGTTCTTATAGCCCACTAAAGAAGGCTATCGAAAATCATCTAGCTGGCTGTAGAAAGCGGAGCAAATCATATAGCCGGGCTATACGAAGCTATAAAAAATACAGTCGGGCTATAGTTCCTATCGCCGGGCTTTACACTTTATCGCCATTGGCTATAAAAGGCTATAAGAAGTTATGTAAAAATTTGTGTGCGTTGGAATCATTAAGTTTGGTGCGGAACTACCTTTATTTTCACAAAACACACATTATATTTTCCTTTAAAATATATTTTTTTTTCATCAATTAAAATGAGAATAGTCCATACAGAGTGTGCAAACATTTCAAAATCATGGGTCGAAAAACGCTGACTCCACGAGATTAAATATTGCATTGCGCAATGCGTGAAGTATCCCTGTTAGGTTTGTAGGCGCCAATGCGCGTTTCGCGCTCTCTGCCCGCCCTCCGCGCCGCAGCGTGCCACGGCGTCTGAAGCAACTATTTCACACCAGAGGTATTATACACAGTATCATAAGAAATTGAAGGCGCCCCAACATATTAAGAATGGCAGACATCCTTCAAAAGTCCTAGTATCCGTAATTAGTAACGTTTAGCATAAACTTCATCGTCTGGCTGTTGCATAATCGCCATTGACTATAAAAGGCGATAAGAAATTGTACAGCCGGCTACAGAAGCTATTGGAAATCTTACAGCCGGCTGTAGGTCTATAGTAATTTGGAACACACATTCTACTGCCAATTTTTACCAGGGTTATGATGGGGGCGGAATTGAATTCAATGCAAAACGTATGCAAACTTTGAATTTTCACCAAATTTCTACCCCTACTATCAGTATGATAATAGAGGTAAAAAAAATCGTCTAATCACTATTGCTCTCTGACTTCATATCGATAGATCGTACATCATCTCGATTTCTTCCATTAAAGCTTTTGGGCTCTCGATTTTTAGTATTTTGCGCCCGGTGCGGTGATGATTGCGGACGGAGAGGTAGGCACTTACATATGCTGCCCTCCACCCTTGCACTGTATATTAAAGAAAAAATTACCCTAACCAGAAAGACTCTGTATTCCATTACGTGGATGTTGAATGAAAAACATATTAGTATTAACCATTAGTGTCATATTAGTATGAAAACATATATGTAGATTTTTTAAAGAACAGTGAATTTTTAAAAAAAAAAAAACATGTGGATTTCACTCCAAAATCTTTGAAAGTGAGAGGCATGGAAATTAACCTGCTAGGAGAACATCTTTATCCATAAAATCATGATGAACAGCGAATTTAGATTTTCAACGAATTTCAGAATTTAGAGACGACGTCTTCGATCTAGACAATCCATAAAATACAAGAATCTGACATGATGTGTAATGATATCGCTTGTAATGTATAAAAATACTAAGTCACTTTAACAAAATGCACTTCGAGCAGCACAGCTATTATTTAGCGAGTAAGGTGTTTCTAGACTCCTGCCCCGTTTTTATAGTGCTGCATTGTGGCCATTAGTTTCCAATCGGATGTAACCATTAGTTTCCAGTCAGATGTAACCATTAGTTTCCAAACGGAAGATTCTGGGTTATCCGCTTTCTTCAGCAGGCTTTGTGTATTTCCTTTGTCTCCACTGAAACCAGTCGAATACACCTGATCCAGTACCTTATCTAGAGCCCATTCTTTCCTCTAATATACAGTGCGAGCNGGGGGGGGGGGGGGGGGGGAGCAGCATGTGCAAGTGCCTACCCCTCCGTCTGCAATTGCCACCGCCGAAACTCTCAGATCCGCAAGCTCCACGGCCCTGCGCCACCTTTCCGCAATCGCCACCATCAAAACATGCGAATCCGCAAACGCCACCGGGTTCTCAAGAGTCCGCAAACGCCACGTCCGCAATCGCCACCGCACCTTTGCGCCTACGGGCTGTGACTATCACATCAGGAATTGCTTCATTTAAGTTTAATGCGTACAACGCCTTTACATTTTAAAGGAACAAATAATCTCGCAAATGCTCATCAATGATGGTATTTCAATCATTGCACGATAGCCTAAACTCGTGGTTAAGAATTTCAATTATTGGGCAAACGAGTGTTTTTCAAGTTCCATTCAATGGAGCTCTGCAGGATGATTATTTAAATCGATAGATAAAGCGGTAGACAAAGAAAACGAAGAGAAAATGGAGCATGATTATAGGTGGAAATGGGTGGATACAATGGACAAAGGAGAAAAGTGATAGACTAACTATGACGGAAATCTAAGTGAGACCCTTTTCCTATGACTAGTCCATCATATTCCCCCTCAGTCTATAAAAACCTCTCATTCCAACCACTAGGATCTGTCCAGAGGGCTGCTTATTCAAATTGATAGAAAAAGCGATGGACAAAGAGGACAAGAGTATAGAGCGATCTTATTGGTTGATATGGGTGGTTCCTAGAAACTAAGGGAGAAAATGATAGACTAACTATAGGGTCTCTCATGGGTTGCCGGTGTTAGTCTACTATACCTACCTCCTTCGTCTATTCCAACCACCCGCTTCCACCAATACTGCCGTGCTAAGGGAGAACGCCGTATATGAGCATTTGAGAATGGAGATGTTGCATGTGTGAGGGATTTGCGATTTGACTATTGGGAGAACGCCGTATATGAGCATTTGAGAATGGAGATGTTGCATGTGTGAGGGATTTGCGATTTGACTATTGATAAAGTCGCTTTACAGCACTCCCTCGCGCTCTACGACTCCTAACCTCCACTGCTCTCTTTCAAACCACAAATCTTGGGGGATTGAGCACCTTAACATTTGCGCTTCAATCCCTTCCCTCCAACCTTTCATTGGGCGCCCTCTGCGCCAAATGATTTGACTATTGATTCTTATGTAAAAGTTCACGAGCAACATGATGGTGCCACTGGTTTTCTCTGGAATCAACTCCAACGCTCAAATAAAGCTCTCAAATTGAGGCCAAAATGGAGGGGATATCCCACGCTATCCTAAGAGTCCACGTTTATATCAAGACAAACTCTCCATGGAAAGATAGGGAGCAAATACACTAGCAGTGATGCCGTGTTTTCAGTTTTGGAGTTTCCAAATAAAGTGGCAACCCTGCTAATGTATTTGCTCCCTACCTTTGCATGGAGAATTTGTTTTGATGTAGAGGTGGACTCTCAGGGTAGGGTGGGATATCCCCTCCATTTTGGCCTCACTTGGAGAGCTTTTTTTGAGCTTGGGAGATGATTTCAGAGAAAACTAGTGGCACCATCGTGTTTCTCGCGAACTTTTACATACGGATCAACAGTCAAATCGCAAATCCCTAACACATGCAACATCTCCATTCTCAAATGCTCCTACGGCGTTCTTCCTTAGCACGGCAGCAGTGGCGTGGCGTGAATTGCGATATATCGATTGGTATGTAATTTAAACCTATGGTAAAGAATCGATTATTAAGGTGTTCGCTGCGAACACCCTGTTAATCGATCCTTTTCCATGGGTTTAAACGGCATGACAATCGATACATCGCAAAGCTCGCCACGCCACTGCACGGCAGAATAGGATCCCTCCATTCCCTTCTCGTCCCCTTCGTCTATCGCTTTGCCTACCAATTTCAATAATTAGCCCGCTGGTTCGATCAGAGACAAGAGACCCTCCACTAGTATATTGGCCATTGTGGAAGCTTCTACTTTCGGGACTTCAGCACTCCACTGTTGACTTACCTACATGGTTGATGTTCAACAACGTGTTGGCAGTTTCGTTTTGCAAACAAGCCGAAAATGGCCGACGTTTCGGAAACTTGTTCGGCTCATGACGTCATCCGAAGCTCATCATCGACCAAGTAGGTAAGTCAACAGCCGAAACTAGGGTGATGACTGTTGCTCCCTAGTAATTGTCCATAAGGAATTGTTGAAACCCCGAAAGTAAAAGCTTCCACCTGTCGCTAGGAGGCCAGT